CCAGGTTGCTTGGGGCCTTGAATAATAATCGGCATCATTATGTACTTTCTCTTCATGCATAGCCAAGGGGGGAGGTTGTAGATACACATCGTAACGGGCCAAGTGCTATGTCCGCTGCTCATCTCTCCAAAAGGATTCATGCCATCCGTACTTAAACCAAACCGTATGTTTCGTGCGTCCTTTCCAAAGTCTTTAAATTTTCTGTCGATGTTTCGCCACTGCGAACCATCTGCGGGGTGTCTCAGCATCCCGTCCTGTTGACGTTCTTCAGCGTGCCAATGCATCATTCTAGCATTCCCCTTGTTCCTGAACAAACGCCTTAGCCGTGGTATTATAGGGAAATACCACATCACCTTAGCAGGAATTCTCTTCTTCGTTAGCTGCCCGTCAACCTCACCTGGATCATCTCATCTAATCTTATATCGTAGTGCTTTACAAACAGGGCATGCTTCTACGTTCTCGTACTCCTCATCGTGATATAGGATACAATCATTCGGACATGCGTGAATCTTCTGAACTTTCAGTCCTAGAGGGCAGACTATCTTCTTAGCCTCGTACGTTATCTCGGGCAATTTGTTTCCCTCCGGAAGAATGTTCTTGACGAGTTTCAATAAATCGCCAAATGCCTTGTCACTAACACCTTTTTTGCCTTCCATTGCAAAAACTCCAGAGTGGTATCCAAATTTTTGTGCCCCTGCTCGCAACCTGGGTACAACGACGTTCTGTGGTCCTCTAACATCTTGTCCAATTTATGGGCCCCCTTTTCACTTTCGCAGTCCTCCTTGGCATCCTGCAACATCTGACCAAGATCATCCGCAATGTCGTTATAATCAGCATCTCTGTCCTCCTCGCCCATTTGATTTCCTTCAAATCCAGCGTACTGAGCAAAGTCTGGAATATTGTCGTCTTCCACTTCATCTTCTTCCATTTCAATCCCTTGCTCTCCGTGGGATGTCCAACAATTATAGCTTGGCATGAACCCCGACTCAAACAAGTGGAAATGAATAGTCCTGAATGCAGAATACTCCTTCTGATTTTTACACTTATTGCATGGACAACAAATAAAACCCTTCTGCTTGTTAGCTTCGGCCACTCTCAAAAAATAATGCACGCCGTCAATAAACTCTTCGGACCGCCGGTCAGCGTACATCCATTGCCGATCCATCTACATGAAATGAAAAAAAATCGTACACAAATAATCATTCGTACAATAATGACAGTCATACAATAATGATAAAATAATAACAAACTCTTTCAACAGTCATACAATAATGACATATTATTATTCATACAAAAATTATAAAATATTCCACCAAATAATTCTTATTTATTATTTTTTAAGTTTTAAATTCTTTTAATTTTCAATTTAGTTTGTTTTCTTTTATTTAAGATTAACTTTCACTATATTTTCCTACTCAACTATTTTATAAAACCTTATTTAGCAAATAAACAAAATTTCTATATATTCTTTCTTTTCCCACACAAATTTTCTCTCTCATCAACTTACAACAAAATTTTTGAGACAAAAAAGTGTGCAAAACATAGCTCCAAATGTAATATGACCAAAAAAAAACATTGGAGGATGAAGTTGCTAACCTTTTAGGCACCTTCGATTTGTATATAATCACCAAAGTAAATTCACTATAAATTTTGGCATGACCTCCCCTCTTTTTTGAAGAAATTTTGAAGCTTGCTCGGGCTGGAGTAGGAAGAAGACATATATAAAGGGGTGGGACTTTAGTCCCGGTTGGTGTTACCAACCAGTACTAAAGATCACCGGGAATTATAGTCCCGGTTGGTAACACCTTATTTATAAAACCTTAAGGTGAATTTAACTTTCACTATATTTTCCTACTCAACTATTTTATAAAACCTTATTTAGCAAATAAACAAAATTTATATATATTCTTTCTTTTCCCACACAAATTTTCTCTCTCATCAACTTACAACAAAATTTTTGAGACAAAAAAGTGTGCAAAACATAGCTCCAAATGTAATATGACCAAAAAAAACATTGGAGGATGAAGTTGCTAACCTTTTAGGCACCTCCTATTTGTATATAATCACCAAAGTAAATTCTCTATAAATTTTGGCATGACCTCCCCTCTTTTTTGAAGAAATTTTGAAGCTTGCTCGGGCTGGAGGAGGAGAAGACATATATAAAGGGGTGGGACTTTAGTCCCGGTTGGTGTTACCAACCGGGACTAAAGATCCCGGGGGGGCCTGACAAGCCCTGACAGCATTTGAACCGGGACTAAAGACGGTTGGTGTCAAATATGTCCGTTATCATGTGTGTGTCCTTGTTTTTAGCAGCATCCTAGATAGATTGCATCAGGTTTCAATTTCTATTGGCATCGTATTCCTTCGGACGTGCTTAGTTCATGTCGCGGCGCGTCCGCGTCGTGCGCTCCGCTTCGCTCGTGTGGGATGGAACACATTTGCGGCAATGGCAGCGAGGTGAGGGCGCGCATCCAGGAGGCCACGATGCATGGTGAGTTTTTGTATTATGCAAATAAAAGGATGAGAAAATGAAAAGCTGCAGTGAGCCAGTGACACTTACGCAGCACCAAAACTCCCTCTGTCGAACACCTTGTGAGTGCACTGTTCATCTTCTTCCTTCAAACAATCTAGAGTTTGTGAGCCAAGTCATCGATTGGGGCTGTCAAAGGACGGCGATCTCTCCGATTCTGGCTTCCCAGGCAGAGGAGGGCATTGACGCGGTCTCTTGCGGCGAAGTGCGCGAGCACAGACTCCTCGAGCGCGCCGCGCATCCTGTGCTTGTCCGGCAGCAGGTACATCATCGTGTTCATCGGGCGACACTTACGCCTGGCGCTTCTCTCGGCGCTGCCGAACCGCAGGTGCTCATCGTCCGCGTCGTCAGGGGACCTGTTGGCCAAGACGGAGCCCATCAAGCACATGGGAGGGCTCCCATGACAGCGCATGAGAGGGCTGTGTCCAGTTGCTCAGCTGTGTGCCCAAGCTCACCGTCACGCTGTCGCGGCTCCGGCGGACGATGCTGGTGCAGTGTGATGGCGGCGAATGGGCCGAACGAGAAGGCTATCATCACACGTGGACAGGAGCCATTGGATGCGCAAGCGACGGCGATCGGAAGTCCAACGTCTCTCTACGTCAGAGTAGCCGGTTCCCATGCTAATATATGTGTAGATAGCAGTGCAATCGGCCGGCTGGTTGGTTGTCTTAATTTGCTGCTGTACCTATGCCATGAGATTGATCTGTCTCCCTCACAGCAAGGCACCGAAGCAATATGTCGTAGCAATCCGTCCGTTTAGCAGCTTGCAATCGAGTCCGAGAAGGAGTTCAATCACGGCAAATATCTGCTGCAGGATTAGCTCATAATATTCGGACTCGGTTGGTTCTAATACGGCGAATAGTCTGGCTTTGACATCCTTTGCTGCGGCGGGGTTAGTCAATCCACAATGAAGCACCACGACTGACAACCTTAAAATCGACGTGATCCGCGGCGGTGACGTCTTGAAGCTTAATCGATCTCGAGAGATCAAATTGTTAATAACGATGATTCCGATCTCGTCGGAAGACATACTCCGGTCGGGTTAGATCTCCCCATAGCCAGAGTCGTCGAGTAGCTTATTGTTGGAGAATCCATCTTTCGAACCCATCTCGTTGAAACCTTGAAGCACCAAACTTCCCTTACCTGACGCGTCACTATTGACGTTTAATATCGTGACTACGGTATTTGGATGGTATGGGGATCGTCGGTACCAGGGTATATGTGAGATTGAGGTAAAAGAGATGGAGACATGGATTTTTATATAGGTTCGGGCCCCCTATCTGATAGGTAATAGCCCTACATCCTGTTTATATGGGATTGATATAGAAAACCACAGAGTACAACAATTGGGATAACCTATCTAACCGTCGTCGACTTAGCAGCTAGATAACTAACTTGTAGTCGACGACAGGGTAGTCTTCTTCCTCGAATATGAACTCGTCATGATTAGAGATAGCGCTAGATCCCTCTTGCCGGCCTCCATAGGTACCGGATGGGGTTTGCCTAGGCTAATCTCTAATGTTGATATATGGCGACGTGTGTTGACTTGTGGCTTTGTGGCTCCTCCCCTCTCCTCCTAGGGGGCTTGTATTTATACCCATAGAAGTCCCCTTGTCCAAGTAAGACTAGGGAGATAAATATGGATACAATCCGAGTAGTTCTTATCGTTTCCATATAGAACTCTATTTGTCCTTTCTTATCCGAAACTCCTTCTATATACGAGGTTTGTTTTCATATAAGACATGGTATATGGTGGACCCCGTCAAGCTTAGTCAATTACTATTTGTTATGTGGTATGTATAACCCTAATAATAGTGCTTATATGATATGGCAAGTATGAAAACTATTATGTAGTTTTTGGGTTGCGGATGACCTAAATGTCAAAGCGCGATACATCGAAATAGGTAACGTTCCGGCCGCACCCTCCATACCACCCCCAAAAAAAGAAGAAATATAGCATTATATTTATTGCCACAGACATATCACCAGTGTACAATATTGAGACATTAATTATATATGTGTTTCAAATCCAACAGATCATATATATACATATAACAATATTACAACTTTCATGAGGTGACCGTAGCCCGTAGGGCGTAGTAGTAGTGGTAGTATCCATGCAACTCTAGATCGCATGCATGGCACCCAAGTTAACAAGCATCCATTATTTATTTTGCTATATATAGTTGTGGAAGAAGCGTGATAAATTAAGTACGATTACTGATATGCATGATATTATATTAGGGCCGGATGACAGGCTGTGGCCAACCCGTGCATAAACCAACTTAATTATAAATCAATTAAATAGCTCGATATACTCCTTCCATGCGAAAAAGATAACCTAGTATCACATCCTAATATAAGGTTATCTTTTTTAAGAGGAAGGGAGTATATGTTACTGTAACGCCCCAGGTAACCACGTACCTAGAGTGCCACATCAAACATACACTCAAACCACTAACTCCCAAAATTATTAGAAATTTCGGCAGAGTCTCCCCTGTAAATACGGACATCCACGACAGGCAATTATAAGTTAAACTAATAACAGTATCATTCCCACAATACGATCCATCCTTATAATCCATGGGGAAGAAACTATTAGAAATCTAAAAGATTATTACAAGACCGAACCATGATATAATTTAAGTATCATTATGGACCTAAGCAATATAGTTTGATAGTGTGCAGATAAATGTGTATATAAGGGTGCTACTTCCCGCCCATGCATGTCGGTCTCAATATGTACCTAAAACCAAATAAAACACAAGAGTGAGTATAAAAATACTCAGCAAGTACAATATGGAACTAGAAAACATATATACACACCATTGGCAATAAAGTATAAACAGAAGGCTTTCTTTCTTTGATAGGAAACATATTTTCAAACACCAAGTCAAAGAAGATAGTAGTTCCCATCCCGGGGAGGCATGAATTGAAATAGTAGTTTCCATCCCAGACAATAGTGAATACATCCTAGCATTTGCCGGCAAAGCCGAGTAAGCGTGATCAGCGCTTACCCACAGGAACTTGAATAAAGAACCAAATTGCACTCCCATGACTACGCATGGTACTTTAATTGAAACCAGAATCAAAGAACCAAATTGAAACCATATTGCACATTTATGGCAAACAGGGAACTTGAATTATTTACCCAGAACAAGAATCCGGAATATTGAAAGAAGAATAACATCGTAAACATAGGATAAATATGGAAACCTAAATGGCGCGAACAACAATATGAATATAAGCGGTCACATGTCACATAGAAATATATCGGAAATAAATAGATAGAGCAAACAATCCATCAATCACACACTTAGTTCATCATGCACTTGCCTCCAATGAAGGTTTGGTATCATGCACGATCTGAAGGGCCACCACCTAGGGTTTCTTTAGAGAACTTGTGAGGAGACAATAGGGGAGACTCTGATCTAACCCCTCCTTTTACTCCTCTCCTCCTCCTCGTTCCGTTTTTCTATTTCGCTTTTCGATCCAAGCTATGAAGGTGGAGATCTAGGGAGGGCAATTTGTTGTAGAGAGGAGAGATGTGAACATAGGAGAAGGGGAGGAAGGAGGCGCCGGCCAGGGAGAGGGGTGGCGGCACTATGAGGGGAGGTGGGAGTCGGTTCCCCTCTCTCTTGGTTTTAGGGAGAACTAATGGGCTGGATTTATGGGCCTTCTCATGTTGGCCCACTTCTAAAGATATTTTTCTTTTATTTATTTGTGTTAACATCTTTATTTTAACAAGTCAACCCAAATTAAAAAAACTAAATATCTTTTAATATACGGGGTATTACAGTTACCTAATTAATTGACCCATATATAAATGGTTTCCTGGGTCGGCCAATTTGCACCCTCTATGGGCAACCATCGCAGGGCGGAACCTCTGGAGGTGGAGGTCCGTTAAACCGTAGTTGTAGCAAAACCCTCGTGGCGGAAGCCATCGTGGGCGCCTCATGCAACGCCGCCATGACGAACAACGTGAGGAGGAGGAGAAGCACCACACGCCGGAGCGCCGTCACCGCTGCCGCCATCGTCGAAGAATCCTGTGATGACCCGGCTGGCTAGCTATCAGCCGCGCGCGCTGATGAGGTGGGTTAATATGTATAGTCTGAAACTTGGATTAGCAGGCTCACACAGATTTTGTGCATGTAGATAGCCATTTATATAGAACGAGCTGAGCACCGGGGGTTGATCAGTAATTCATTCATGGGTCTGATGACCGGACGGCCGGCCAACTGCCTGTCCGGCTATTAATTAAAGTGGCCTAGCTAGTTGAGTTCTCCACTAGCATGCACCATGGAAGACTGATCGATGACTGGTTAATTAAACTGAGGTATTAATTGTACGCGCGCAATTGCAAGTGTTTGCAAGTCTCCAGCTGTTCGCCATGGAATATATGGAGTTCCTTAACACATCCGATATGCAGATATCAAATCTCTAGTCGGACTAGTCTTTCTTTATATCTTAACCTATACTAGTAATTATTAGAGGCTCTCCTCACTGCTACAGAAATGATCTTTGAGGGATCTACATTTTCCATGGTGATTGAAAATGTTGAAAAATTACAGGTTATACACTATTGGAGAAACCATCTTTTGTAGGTTGGCTAAAATCCACAATAGTCCCGGTTCAACCAAAAACCGGGACTAAAAACTATTTTTAGTTCCGGTTTAAAAGTGCACGGGGACTATATGATTTTCAATCATAAAGATGATCTTTAGTCCCGGTTCTATTTGTGTCAGATGATATCAGAGCGCCGAGGATCTTTAGTCCCGGTTGGTATTATCAACCGGGACTAAACATAGATCTTTAGTCCCGGTTGATATCTCCAACCGAGACTGGATATCTCTTAACGCATATATAATCCTTATCCTTTATCTCCTCATCGAAACTGATCAAGCTTGCGCTTTTCCTCGTGTCTCTTCTCTCGCTGTCTCTCTCTGTCCTCTTTGTCTCGATCTATCACAGCGGGGTCGGTGATGGCCGGGTCAGGGAGGCGGCGGGAGCCGCAACGAGAAGGCGGCGGTGGGAGCGAGCGGTGGCGGCAGATGGGAGCAAGCGGCGGCGGTGGATGGTGGCGGGCGACGGCCGGGCGGTGCGGATCCGGCGCAGGGGGCCCTCCCTCGCGCGGATCTGGCGGCGGCGGCGGATGGGAGCGAGCGGCGGCGGCGGGAGCGAGCAGCCGGCGGCGGGAGCGAGCGGCGGCGGCGCATGGGTGATGACGTCGACGACGACGACGACGAGTGGGTGACAACGATGACGTCGCGGGTGGTGGCGGCTGCGGCAACCCCGACGGCGACGATCCGGCGGCGGCGAGCCTCGTCCCGCCCGGATCCCGTGGCGGCGGGCCTCGTCCCGCCCAGATCCGGCGGCGGGAGCGGCCGGCGGGATCGGGGGCGGCGGGAGCGGGAGCTGGCGGCGGCGGCGGGAGCGGGGGCAAGTCGTGGGTGGCGGCTAGGGTTTGTTTTTTTTTTGGAATTTTATTTTTTTTTGGCGGTTTTTTCTCTTTGCATGCGGTCGGCTTAAGCGCCCGCATGCAAAAATCCGATTTTTGCATGCGGGTGCCCTGGCCGCATGGAAAGATGGCGATCTTTGCAGACGATTTCTCGCATGCGGCTGGCCCAACCGCATGCGAAAATCGTGTTCGCCCGTTTGCAAAAACCAATTCTGTAGTAGTGGTAATGACTGCACATATACAGAACTAGCTCTCAAACCAACCACTCCACGAATCATAACAGCTAATCTATGTAATCTGGTGTGCATGGATGAAACTATAACTATTAACCAAATTATGTCACAAACAGGTGTATCACTTCAAAAGGCCCGCATTTTTTTCAGTGTTGTGTGATGTCTACTCCCTCCGTCCCAAAAAAGTCAACCTCGTACTAGCATGGGACACATCATATTATAACAAATCTATACATAGAGTCTAATTCTAGTACGAGGTTGACGTTTTTGGGACGGAGGGAGTACTAAATTAACTCTAAAGTTACTAACATACACATTTTCCGGTATTAAAAAATCCGGTTAAATAACTACCCTGCAAATTTTATCTAATAAATATCTATATTTTATTTAACTATGTATTTTAGCTGACTATTATAAGCATATATATCTATATTTTTTCTAAAATAGTACAAAATATTTATTTCTTGATCTTTTTTCACCAGGGAAATTCAAAAACCAGGACAGCACTATTTTTCTAGTAGTGGCCAGATATATTTGTTTTGAGACTAACAATGCAAATTAAGCCAAATCATTTGTTTCTACTCATTTCTCACCGTGGCGCAAACACAACGTTCTAGACGGATAGGACAGCTTCATCGATGCTATATCTACAGCATGAGAAGACATGTATACTATATATCGAATGCGCTTGTTTGGATAGATAATGCTTCCTCCTAGAGGAACATGGCATGAACATCTAAACTAAGTCTGTGATATTACTGGGCCAATTAGATACTGATGTGTGAATTAGTACACTACTTCAGGGAAAGGAACTCTTTTCATCCCCTTATTTTTCATGCCATTTAAATAGTCACCAGAAAATTTTTAAAAAAAAGTTACATGTGATAGATCAATATGAGATATGTCATTCAAACATTTAAATTCAAATGAACCTAAGAAGTAAAATCCACCTCGCGTTACTTCATCAGCAGCACAACTCCGTTGTCGTCCTACCATTTTATCCATCTCCCTCTCTCTATCTCTCTCTCTCTCCCCAATGTACCATTACACTTAATGTACATTCATGGATATTTCTAATTAACAACGTGTGATATATTTAGAAGATCTTGCTAGGGCAGTGAAATTCTAGCTTGCTGGTTCGTTTACCAACGATTTACAGACATCTACAATGGAGAGTAACCTTGCATAGGTACGTGCACGTGAGGCCTGAGTAATGTTGTCCTCAGCAGGTATATATATGATCATGTTGGCAAGATTCCAGTCTCATTTCTGTCATGTTGGCAAGCTGACAACTGGCACCCTAATATGTTGTGTTCTGTCTACCAAAATGTGTAAAGTAGGTAGCTCGACCAAAACCAAGCCTCCTTACTACATCGCACCACCGACCCTCGTGATCAAGATCCATAAGTTATAGTAGCACAATTTAATACTGCTGTAAAATATCTATATGCCCTTAAAATAATCATTCACAAAATGCTGTAAAGGTATACATACAGATGCTTCTTCGTTGTATCTTCAATACAACCATACCATAAGTTACTTAAATACTCTCTCCGCCCTTATTTTTAGAAAAATCAAACTCGGTAACTGTTGACTAATAAGTACACTAATAATATCTACGCCAAGTGTTATATATGTGATACTGATTTTATAGTTGTTGATGATATAATATGAAAATTAATAGTTAAAGTATGTTATTAATGACCATGTAAAAAAAATTAGGACAGAGGTATGATATAAGGCAGAAGAATACTTGAGTAGTGAAGCCAAGATCGAACAACTCTCAACAGTCTTGGGATTATACTATTTCTGGTTTGAGGCCTATTAATTAATAAAGTTTTACAGTTTATGGTTTTCACCGTGGTGTTTTAAATGTGGACTGACCTAGAGTGGACTAACTCACAATATTTGGCTCACAGCTGGATATCTACCCTTGACGTATGCAATATTCTAGATAACTCTTGTGGCTGAGCTTTTTAGTTGACAAATCATTAATGCACGATTAATTGATAACTATTAAATATTATAAACTTAAAAAAAAATTTATTTTTTTAAAAAACTTATATATACTCTCATATCAAAATATAAGATACAACCACCCTTAAAAAAACCAAAAAATAATTATTTTTTAATAAAAGCGGCAAGAGTGTTGCCGATTAGATTAGGAGTAGAAATAAACGTTTTTACATTAGGGCGATTACATAAGTGTTATAGTAACAACTCTGTGGCAGAAAAAGACAGCCAAGCAAAATAGAATAATCTCGCCCAAAAATCATGGTGGCTGAAAACCGAATCGACATTTGTGAATATCCTTCTAGTTTGGATCACCTGATAAATATAATGCACACACCACCTAATAGAACTAGAGATTTGAGGGTGCAAGATTTAAAAAATAAGAGTAAATTACACTTTGGTCCACCTTTTATTACCCAAGTTTTAATTTGGACCACCCTTAACCCTATCTTTTCAATTTGGACCGGGTAAATTTACCATTGTTGCATTTTGGACTACCATGAATAACTTTTCTCGTCATGTTTAACTTTCCTTTCGGCAAACATATGAACCATACATAGAGGAGTACGGCCGTATACTAGAGCTGATGTGTTTAAGGTCGTTAATTATACTTAAAAAAATCGTTCGTGGTGGTCCAAATCATAATAATGGCAAATTTATCCGATCCAAAGTGAAAAGATATGTTTAAGGGTGGTCCAAAGTGAAACTTAGGTAATAAAATATGGCCCAAAGCGTAATTAACTCAAAAAATAATAATCTACTGGAGAGAAGGTGTTAGTTAATTGTTGCACGTATGCACGTCTTATATTATGAACGTATTATATTATGAAACATCTGAAAAAAAAATAGTTATGTCTTATATTATATTATGGAACGGAGGGAGTGGTAAGGGTTTTTTTTAAGAAAAAAGCACATGGCCTAAAAAGCGTGATCATTAATAATGAGAAACTAGCTAAGCCCTTAAAGTGTTTAGAATGCATATGGTACCCAAATTAGACTTCTTATAGTTGTACTCCGTACAAGGTTGTGGTCATCTCATTATGCAAAGTTGGTTGATGATGTTAACCTATAACTACATTATGTAATGAGCGTGGACTCGCAAACATGAAGTCTTCTTATAGTACTACTAAACTAATAATTAATAATGTTTCACGTACGTTGATTGACTAGAATAGAAGAAATCTACTCTATCCGTTCTATAGAAAACCAATCTACCTAGTACTGAACGTGACACATCCTAGTACTATGAATACATGTCTCTGTCCAGATTCATTATACTAGAATATGTCACGTCTAGTCACTGGTGGAGAAACCATCTTTGGTCGGTCCGGCAAAATCCACAATAGTCCCGGATCCAAAAAGAACCGGGACTAAAGATTATTTTTAGTCCCGGTTATAAAAATTTTGATCATACCAACC